CCCCTAACCATAATTGTTAGCAGGGATCTTGTTCTGCTGCTACCTTTGCTGTGCCTGCTCTGTGAATACACAACTTCAATACTGATGGCTGAACATGACAGAGTGACACTCACACTGAAGTCGTACGGCAGTAACAAATGATGTGAAGTTTAGTTTCTCTCTGTGTACCAGGAGGGATAGAAGCATTGAAGACGAAGGATATCACTGCCCTGTATCTACACATTAACTGGCAGAACATCTAAATTCTACTCTGTTCATCACCATGGTATCTAGCATGAAAGAAAGCTGATCCATGTAACCAACTGCCTTAGCTGCTGTTATTCTCTAGAAGAGCGAGACAGTGAAAGAGCAGGCAAGGGCACCCAACTGCGACATTGCCATGGATAAGAAGGGTAGCAATCCACAACATCCCCTTGCTGTAGTCTAGGGCAGCACTGACTTTGGAGGTAAAACCATTCTCTTCCTAAAGGGGGAGGAGAGATGTATGGAGACACTTACTGGAGATTTGAAACCTGCATTGCAATTTCTCAGGATTCCAGTTGGTGTCCTGGATTAAGACAAAAAGAAATTACCATTTTAAAAGGCACGAGCATAGCCTGACAGGATGAGACAGCCCTAGCCTGCATGCACCTTTCAGTGGGGAGGAGGAGTGGCAACACCAGAATATCCACAGCAGGGTAGCAGCGAAGATCCAATATCTCGGATGTCTTCACTTCAAGCTGTGATGTGCCCGGGGCTTGGCGATTGGGGGCATCCCATCCTCATCAAGAGGCTCCCTGAGGCTTAGGAAAGTCAGTCCCACAAAGTCCCTTGGGAAACGAGGAGAGTAGCATGTCATCCCTCTAAGGATCCTTGGCAGCTGCATTTCAGGACAGGAAGCGCTCAACCCCAGATGGCTGGGGAAAGTGTGGCTCCCCTCGCTCTGCAGGCTGGTGAGAGCACCTTCAGGGGCTGGAAAAGGAAAGTCCCATCCCTGTAAAGGGCTCCATATGAGATGGTCAGGAGGGAAGTCACAGACCCTTAAGAGCTGGTGGGAGGGAGGGTCCCATGCCACCTGAAGAACAGCACCCTAAGAGCTAAGAAGGGGGATACATCCCTTGAAGACAGGCCTAGGGAGTTATATTGAACTTGCTCCTACCTCCTCAGGAAAGGCCTAGGTGACGGCCCGCTCCTCCCTCGGAGCCCTGGGCTCTGCTCCCACTCCCCGCAGAGTGTGGGTCCCTGCTCGTGGTTATCCAGCGCTGCCTGCAGGCCAGAGGGCCTGGAATCAACATAGGCCTCGTTGCCACTTTGCATGCTGGGAATTGTAGTCTCAATGCAGGAAGTTTCCTTCCCTCCCACACTGCATGTTGGGATTTGTAGTCTCTGAGGACTTCACAAGTGCTCTATCTGCTGGGATTTGTAGTCTATGGAGGTTTAAACACTACATTGCATGCTGGGATTTGTAGTTTCTGAAGGCCTTAGCCCGGCCCTTGAAGACAGGCTATCAAAATATTTTCTTTTATTATTTGTGAAAAATTTGTCACTGCACCACAACTTCATTTATTCTTTTTTATCTTTGATAAATGTATTTGCTTGTTAAATAGTTGTTAGAGCTGAAGACTGGGACTAGTGGGGATGGGGAAGGTGGGTTCTATTCCCAGCTCTATCACTAACTTGCTCTATGACCTTGGACAAGTCACTTTCCCTGACTGAGCCTTAGTTTCTTAGACCTAACGTTAATTATGTGACTGTAGCAACTTGAGTAATAATTGTTTATTATTTGTTAAGTGCAGAAATTGTGGTCAGTGGCACACAATATAAAGAATAAGAGTTAATGTTTCAACAGTGCAACGTTCAAGAACAATCTGCTACAACACTCAGAATCCTACCTGCTGCCATTACAAATCACTTTTGAAGTCTAAACATGAGGAAGAATATACTCAAGGTTATGTAGGAGGGACTTGTTATAGCGCTCAGTACACACTGCTCACTTCACAGTACATTTAGAGAGCACTTCTTCATCCTTTGACTTACTACTGGGAGAGAGAGCCCGGCAGCAACAATTTCCATTAATCCTCCAAATATGATCCATAAGGAGTAAACACTGTCAGCGTCCATTAAATTGCTGTCTTCCTTTTTGTGTTGATAGTGCTGGCATAGCCATGAAAATAGACAATGGGGAATCACATGGTCGTAGTACAGCTGCGTGTTTATCAAGCATTTTTCACAACACTTGAAGCCTTTGTGTCAAGCTTTTATCCTTGCTCTTAGGGTCTTTGAATATTTTATGTTACTAATACTTAACACTTACGTAGCACTCACCACCTTCTTCAAAATGCTTTATAAACAAACTAATCAGTCTTCACAACACACAAGTGAAACAGGATAAATAGAGGCCAATGCACCATTTGCCAGGTTTCTCAACTAATTTGGAAAAAAAATCTAGAAATCCATCTGTGCTGTCATTCCTATTCCATGATTAATTTTCTCAAGGCTTAGAAAATCTCCTCAGTGTCTGAGTTCTTAAGAAAATTAATTTTCTAATAACTCATTTTAACAATATATTCCTATATAATGACTTTTCCAGAAGGATATCAAAGTACTTTACAAATAATTGATATATGAACTACACACACTGAACATTTTACCCGCCACTGAAATGCAGCCATTTATGGGGTGAAATGCAACAGCTGTTTAATAGCACATAACAACACTCCCCAACAGTTAAGAATACAAAGAATATATCTTTCCATTTAAAATGGCAAGTGGAGTTTTAGGTGGGGGAAGACTATAATGAGAATTAACCAAATAATTATAAGAATATGGCCTGGACACCTATGTTAACACCCCAACTCTTACAAAAAGTGCCATAGGAGTTCTAAAGTTCACAAGTAGCCAGAACCTCGATTTTGAATTTAAGCCAAAAGACAGTATCTCTTTAAGCACAACATCCCTTAAGTCTTTTGCGGAACTGTCTCAGTACTGGCTCAGAGGAAAAAGAGTGCGATCATTACCACTTCCTACACCAGCCGTTCTCAACCAGGGGTCTGGGGCCACCTAGGGGGCCGTGAGCAGGTTTCAGAGGGTCCACCAAGCAGGGCCAGCATTAGATTCGCTGGGGCCCAGGGTGGAAAGCTGAAATCCCACTGCATGGGGCTGAAGCCGAAGCCTGAGCAATGTAGCTGCATGGGGGCCCCAGGAAATTGCCTTGCTTGCTACCCCCTAATACCAGCCCTGGCTTTTACATGCAGAAAACCAGTTATTGTGGCCCAGGTGGGCCATGGAGTTTTTATAGCCTGTTGAGGGAGGGCCTCAGAAAGAAAAAGATTGAGAACCCCTGTCCTACACCACACGCACCATGCCTGACTTGGTTCAAAGAACTGACTTAGAAGAAAAGGCAACACCTGCAAAAATAACAGCACCACTTCTTGAGTTAAAAATGGGTCACACTTCACAGCACTTGAAAACCTGAACCACATCCAATTGGTCAGCTGTTTCACCTACATTCCTCTCCTTACTGGTGCTTTACAGTCATGTGTCCCTATGGGAGGCTTAATGAAGCATGCCGAGGGTAAGGTAAAAAGACTCTTTGTATTTCCTCTTTTGGGAAAGAAGGCATGCAGGGTAGAAAGAGATTTCTGTCTATATCGCCCCTATCTGAACAGCTCCATTGAGTATATGGTGGTTGTGTTCATATCCTGTATCAGCTATAGGCAAACATTGGAGGCAATATACTACACTCAATGGTCTGACTCAGTGTACCAAATGCTGCCATATGCTCCCTTTAAAGAAAATGAGCCAAAGCGGGCTGGTACATGAATTTTAATTTCATGTTGAGGACCAGAAAAAAGCAACACCCTTCATGTGTCATGAGCTCCAGAGGTAGGAGAGTGATGAGCACAGTATTAAAACCTAGACAGATTTGATAGGACTGGATAAACACGAGAGAACTGCAGAATAGTGCTGGGAGGATATTTGCACCGTTTGTATATTACACTAGCAGTCTCTGCCCATACTGGCATTATTAACACAGTGCCAATTGACACAGTAATTAGCTCTGCTGGATGCAAATTTAAGCCACACAGTGGCATGATCGCCTGCACCCCTTTGGGAATGCATTTATGTGTTGAGCGAGATGTTTTACAGGCTTTCTAGAGGGACCAGCGATAACCACTGCAAACTTCTCTAGTGTAAACGAGGTCCTGAAGAGAAAAAAATGAAATCTTGGGGGCTTACCGAAAACAGCCTGGGATGCTTGGCTAGGTTTCTAATCAAAGGTTCAAGGAAAGAGTGGGTGGCTGGTATCTGGAGAGCAGTCTGTGCATGGAGGAGATAACGCACCACCATCTTCTCGCCCATTTGTAATCCCAGAAAACTAGTTAGCAGGAGTTAAGGCTGAGAGACCACACTGGGAACGTGTGAGAAGAAACCCCTGCCCTTCGGCCCACACGGGCCCCAAAGCTCCAGTCACACGTGCATATCAGCGACCAGGCTGGCAATTCCGGAGGGAATAATAGGGGTGACATGGGGGTGAGGGTGGGTGCCAGTGGTGCAGGGTAGCATCATGGGGGGGATAGTGGGGCGGGGGGAAGCACCAGGGAAGGGGGATGTAGCAATGCCGGAGGGGCAGTGAGGGGATAGTGGTGGAGCAGGAGTGTGTGTGGGGAGGCTGGGTGCTAGGGCAGGGGACAGCACCCATGGGAGAGGAAGGGGAGCTGTGTCAATGCTGGAGAGGTGGTGGGGCAGGTACTGGAGAGGATGCTGAGGCAGTGTAGCTGGGGGATGCGGGGGGGTGTCTAGGTCGGAGGAAACACTGGGGGGAGGTCGAGGCAGGGGCGGGGCAGCTCTTGGCTGGAAGGCCGAGGCGGGAGCGCGCCTCCTCGCCTCACAGTGCTCGGAGGCGGGAGCACGCGCCCGCCGTGGGCCGCGCCGCTGGGAGCGCGCCCGCCCTACCGGGGCACGCGCAGCAGGGCGCAGCCTCCCTCTCCCTCTTTCTCCTCCCCTCCGCCGAGTGTGGGGCCGGGCGGGCGGAGTCTCCCCCCAGCCCCGCCGGGCTGACGTGGCCCGGCTCGGACATGGCGGACGGCAGCAGGCAGATCAAACTGGCCGCGGCTAAGAAGAAGGTAACGAGCCCGGGGAGCCGGAGCCGGGCCGGGGCCTCCCCTGAACCCGGGGCCGAGTGGGGAAGGCGGCCCAGATCCCTTCCCCCGCCGGCCTGGTGGAGAGGCCTGGTCTCCCCCGCCCCCAGCGACCCTGTGCCCCCCGCTCGGTCGGGGGAGAGGCCTAGCCGCTGCCGGCCCCCCGAGGCCTGTAAGGGACAGCAGGCCCCAGCCCCGTCGGGATCCTCCTCGCGTTCCCCCGCCGCTGCCGTAGGGAAGCGAGGACCCAGAGGCCTGTACGGGAGGGGCCCCCCAGGGCTCCCCGGAGGAGGCGGCGGCCCCCCTTTAGCTTTGTAAGGGAGCTACATTCCCCACCCCGCCCTATAGGGACAGCCCAGGTCTGTGTCCCCCCCTCCCCGTGCAGGTGAGCCAGCGCGAGCTCCCAGCCCGTGCCCCCGGGCAGAGTCACTGCAGCAGCATTTGGAGTTTCCAGGTGCTCCCAAGTCTGTCGGTGGGTGGGCCAGACTAACCTGCCTGTAGAGATCTGGTTTCTGTGATGGTGTGAGAAGGGTGGGACCTTGTGTGATCTTGGCCATGGGGATTGTTCCCCCAGACCCTTCATTCGCAGCCTGCCCAGAGCAGGGGGGAGCTGACCCCTCCAGAGGATTCAGTGATTGCTATAGATGCTTTGGGGCCATATTTAAAAGTGAGAAGGTGCCAAGGAGTTTCCCTTATGATAAGACTGCAAGATCAGCTGCTTTGGGATTATGTCAGGAATCTTGGGTGAGGTTGTTTAAGAGCCTCGTGTGTGCATAAAATTTCAGAGGTTTTCTTCTAACAGCAGTGAATCTTCACTGTAAGCCCTGTAGGGTGAATCTGGTTTTAGAGCATACACCTCTACCTCGATATAACGCTGTCCTCAGGAGTCAAAAAATCTTACCACTTTATAGGTGAAACTGCATTATATCGAACTTGCTTTGATCCGCCGGAGTGCGCAGCCCCGCCCCTCCCCCGGAGCGCTGCTGTACCGCGTTATATCCAAATTCGTGTTATATCGGGTCGCGTTATATCGGGGTAGCGGTGTATGTTCAGAAACACAGACACAAGAGGGCTTGTTAAGATATAATATGGCCCGAGTTCACCGTTGGTTTGTTCTCTTCTATTGATGCAGTAAGTGCAAACATAACTTATCACTGATCTGTCACAGTGAGAAGCATCTGTGTGTTAGGG